TATATATATATATATATATATATATATATATATATATATATATATATATATATATATGAGACATTATCACTTTGTAATATTACAGTAGCCAATTTTGATATATCAATAGAGAAAAAATATATATATATTAATTATTAAAGACTTGCACAACAATCTTCTCTCGTACCAGAGATAAAAACTCCCGACTCCCGATGAAGGGAGCTCTCTTAGAAAACACCACACTCTTGCACCTGACATAACATCAATTACGCTGCTTCATTAATGGTTCATAACACCTGTTTTGAACCATTAATCATCCAAAGAATATTTCTCTGATCATTAAAAATCCGACTATGATTATTTGCGCCTCTCTCTCACTCTCTTACTCACCCGTCAATTCCATTCTCCAAACTATATAACTTTTGTAAATTATACAAGAACATGATTTATCAAAAACGGGACAAAATTAGTGATTTTTATATTTAATTATCTAGGTTTGAGATCAAAATATATAATTGAATTCTGCACTTCTTTTGTCCCAAAGCACATAAATTACTTCAAGATATCACCATCCTTTCGAAGGTAAATAATATAATTTACGTACCCATCCAATTATTAATATATATTTTAAATTAACTTAGATCTTATTCTACATTTATCTTTGACCCGTGTCTATATGAATATATCAAATCCCTTTTGATCATTCAAAGATCCGAATCCTATAAAACCACATCGCTAGCTAAGGTTTATCCGATACTTGAGTTAATTTTAGTTATGTGATATCGACGTAGAGTCAAGTCCTTCGAATTTAAAAGTACGCACCTATAAGGATCTTTTATAGTATGATTTCATGATCATTATGCTCGAATATATACATTGAAAACTTAAGAGTTTGAAGTACACACCTATAAGGATCTTTTATAGCATGATTTCATGATCATTATGCTCAAATATATACATTGATATCGGAGAGAATTATACGCTTTAATTGGTTCCCATGGTATCATGCATCAATTTATTTACCGACATAATTTCTAACATTCACTTTAGTCATGTGATGTCGAGAGGTACAATTTTGAAGGTTAGTAAAATAGATTGTATACCTAACTTAGCAAATTTATCAGTCGATTTGTATAATTAAGAAACATTGATGCAAACTCGAGAACTTAATATGATCGCAACCAAACTACGTTAATTGATTGTTAACATAATAATATTAAATTTTCAATTAATATAACTACTCTTTAACCACAAATAGTAAAGAGTGAAAGAAAAAAAAAACAAATAAAGAAGATAGAAAATATGAAGAAATAAAAAAAGATAAAAGGAAAATTATACTTGAGAATGATGGAAGTTGGTAAAAAAATGAATTTTTATTTTCCTTTTCCTCTCGACGAATTAAAACCCCCACGTGCGGTGGCCTACATTTGACCTCTTCACATCCCTGCTTTAAGATCCGCGGAAGCCCACCTGATGCTTCATCGTTTTCCTCAACATTCGTGCAACCACACGATCGAACCTTGATGCAGCACGTACGAGCTCCCCAAGCCAATTCTACTCGACCATGTCACACTCGTTTCCGATCGTGCA